CTGGAACATATACATTACCAGTAGCGGGTTTTGTTTCAATCCCAAGACTTTTTCGAGGGTCGGGGACGACGTCGGGGTGGTGTGGTGTATACTTCTCCCCCGTTTTCCAAGGGAACAGCGACAAATGTATACACCAGGATCCCGTATACACCATAATCCGCGTTCCTGTGCGAATTTCAGCGCATGGTCGGGAAAAGCGTCGGTGTATAGAGTTCGTTTCCCTAACAAGAGGCCGCTTCGAGCGTCCAAGTGTTTCAAGGGTGGTCTGTGCGGGAAGCCGGGGTCGGAGTCCGTACTCGAGGGGTGGGTCCAGAAGCGCAGCGCCGAGTTGGCATCTTTAAAGCAGGCAGCTCTGAATCAGTAGGGGAAAAACACAGACACAATTAATCGTTGATTCCCCAGAAAATATGGGAAACTATGGGCAGTGGGGGGGAAGACAAAAACCTAGAAAATATAGGAACATATGGGACATCCTGTTATTTGTATCTATTTATTTGTGTGTCCCAGGTCCCCTCCACTGAAGCCCGTGCAGTGGCCTGATTCCGCGATAGAGGTCGACGATGGTGGTTCGGAGTTTTCCGATGGCGATCTCCGTTGGCGAAATCTAGGATCATCTGTCCCCTGTGGAGGCAGCCCCCTGTCTTGGTGTTGGTGTCCATTTCCAGGCCTCCAACTTTGGGGTCTGTGGAGCAGAGCGGCGCTTCGGAGGACGAGGAGGAGCTGCGCAGTGCGGCCAAGCGCGCGGGCGACAGATCTTGTCCAGCGCAGCGACGAGGGGAACGTCTGAGCAGCCTCGGGACCAGGAGTCGTGATGTGCAGGTGCGCGTGGCGATGGGCAGCGTGATGGCAAAATGTTTTTTTGCGATGAACGCCGCTTCCGCGATGAGCTGTGCGACGCAGATGTTCCAGGATGGGGGGGCGGCGAATCTATTGTGCGCATGCCGTAGAACCGTTGCGCTGTCGCGATTGGCCGCGCTTCAGATCCGTCTCAGAGCTGCTGGGGTTCGCGGTGCATGGGGGGGCGGCGCGCGGGGGACGGGTGTCGTGACTGCAACAGGGGGTGTTGTCGCCGTTCTTGCGTCCATGCGCGTGCAATTGAGTGGCAGATTGTTGTCAGGCCTGAGCGGTGGCGGCCCATGTGCATTCTTGGCTTCGGGGTGGATGCGTTGCAGTCTCTCAGCATAGCTGCGCGTAAGCGAGGATATGGTGTTTGAGCGTTGTTCAGTTGACAGAGTTTGCTAGATATGCCCACCGTGTCCAAGAGTGCAAGTTCGAGTGGAGCATTGGAGCTGACTTCAATATGGGCCCCTCCTTCTTGGGGGCATGGGCGGACTCGGCGCGTGCGTGTGTGTGTGTGTGTGTGTGTGTGTGTGTGTGTATGTGTGTGTGAGTGTGTGTGCGCGTGTGGGGGCCGGCGACTGCAGAGCCGGCGATCGCCCGGAGTGCGCCTGGCAGCACCGTCGACGTTTTTGTCGTCGGCTGGAGGTCCGAGGGCAGGTTGGGCCGCGCGACGGTCGTGGGCGCCCCGTCGATGTCTGGCTGCGCAGGTGGGTTCGGCAGGAGCTGCGAGGGAAGACGCGGTGTTGTGGTGCCGCGTTCCATGGCAACCTAAAGAGCGGCCAGTTGAAGCCTGGCCCTGGCGCGGGCGGCACCTCTGAAACTGGCCCCCAGTTCCGCGGCCAGTTGGAGAGTGCGGATAGTCGTGAGAATCTTGCAGTGCTTGCTGGTGCCAGACGGCTGGAGGTGCCGGGCGTGAGCTCCTGGAAGGGCGCTGCCTGATGGGCCCCGGAAAGAGGCATTGCTAGGGCCGCCAGGGTGAGCGTGATAGAAGTTAGGATCTCAGCCGCTGCGCAGGTTGCCCAGGCCATCGAGCAAATCTTCGGCTCGGGGTGTTGCTGTTTGATCGGACTCTGGAGGGGCCCGCGGCTTCTGGGCAGAGGTCGTGGGCGGCGAGTGAGCCGCGTGGAAAACCCGGGTCCGTGAACGCGTGATCGGGCGGCCAGCGCGGCGCTCCGTTCCACCGAGAACTGTGCGCTTCAGGAGGTTTCAGCCGAGGAGTGTCGCGCGCAGCCGTGCCAGCTTGCCGACGACTGCCGCGGGGGATGGGCCTGCGTTGGGACCGCGCGCATGTGCGAGAGGCCCGCTGCCCCTCAAGATGCGGCGTCTTGGGCCCCTCCCTGAGATCGCGGCCCAGTAGTTGGGGGGGGGTGCCATCTCCAAGCTTCCTGTCGAGACGGCCGCGGGCTGTCTCCAGCTGCGCCCTCGGTCTTTGCCGTATCTCTCTGGTGACGTGCTTGTGGTCTTCGCTGCGCTCCTGATGCAATGTCAGCGGATGCATTGCTGGCCTTCGCGTAGGCTAGTGGGCAGGCTAGTGGGGCTTGCCGAGTCGGTCGGGCCCCCCGTGCGTCGCGGCATCCATTTGCGCGCGGAGCGCCCGCTGATGCCGGATCGCCGGAGCAGTCGCCCTCTGCCCAGCCGCCGACGTAGAACAGCTGTGTGTGTGTGTGTGCGTTTGTTGTCCGCGGTCGAGCTGAGCCCTAGTGGGCTCTCGCCAATGCGAGTCTACGGGTTTTCTCCTGGGTGGCAGTCGTCGATGCCTTGGGTTGAGCAGTTGGCGATCCATCAGGCGCTCCATGTTGGCCTCGAGGACGCCCGTGGTGTTTCGGACCATTGAAGCGCGGTCCGCGAGATCAAATTTCAGTGGGGCGAGGTTCTCGCATCGTGCGCGTCTGCGAGTGCGGCGATTTGGCGCCGAATCTCTCGCCCGCGTTGGCGGTCTTGTCAGTGTGCCACTTTCTCTTGGGGCCCGTCCCGCCGTGACTTGTGCAATGCGTAATCCGCAGGAGATCCTTTCGATGTGCGCGATTACCTGGGTGATCTCTGGGCCGGTTTCTTTGCCGCCTAGTGGCTGCCTTTCGCGCTGTGGCGAACGTTGTCGTGGAGCTCCAGAAGACGTTTGAAACGGGTGAAGCTCGCGTGCGATGTGCTGTCCCGTTTCGGGCAATATATCGCTGGTTTTCCCGGGGGTCGTCGACCCCGTTGGCGCCTGCCCCCGTGGCCCAGGTTTCCCGAGCCGGGGCAGCGCTGACCCGGGGCCCCTGGCGCTTGCCTTCCCTCGGGGAATGGAGGTGCCGAGCGTGCAGTCACTTTGCTCGCGCGCCAGGTTGGCTTGCCCAGCTTCGCGCGGGCCCGCGCATGGGCTGCAGGCCCTCAGTGTGTTCCAGTCCCGGCAGGCCCGCGCGCGCTTCGCCGAGAGACGCAAGTCGGGCGCGCGCGACGTCGAGTGAGCGGCGCGCGTGCCCGAGGCCGTGATCCCCGCCTTCCCGTCGATCTTGTCAATGGTCGATCTGCCGAGCGGGGCGTTCAAGTGCAGCTGGCGGGCCTGTATTGTTTTCTGTGAGTGCCACCGGGGCTTCTTCCGTGGTCTGAGCGGCCAGTGTCGTGGGCGCAATGGCCACCCATCGACCCGCTCCTCGCAAATCTCACTCATGCAGTGCGCTGCGAGAGGTCTCAACCCCCGAGACCGGCAAAGTCGTGGAGTTTTTTGTTTTTGTTTGTTTGTGTGTGTGTGTGTGAGTGTGTGTGTGTGTGTGTGTGTGTGTGTGTGTGGGGGAGCTGCCTGTTTTGGGACTCGGAGTGCAGCTTGTGCAAAGCCGATCCGTGCCAGACGGCAGCTTGGACAGCCAGAAGCGTTCCATCGGGCCATGCAGGACCTGTGAGGGTGGTGGCTGGCGAGGTCCGATTCGGCAGGATGGCCCAGTCAGTCGGCAGCCCGCGTCCCGCTTCAGAATCAGCAGGTATACTTGCACCCCGCCCGTGTTCGACGAGTTCTCGCACATGCAGCAGCTCTAGATCGGGTGTAGAAAGGATTTCGGTTAAAGGGAGCCGGTCAGTGATTGGACCCCGCAGATCAAAATATGGACTGGAATCGCTAGGTCAAGTCTGCCACAGCTGGTGTTTCATCGGGTGACGGCAGTTCTGGTTAGTGGAATGAGGCGGGGGGGGCGCCCCCCTGTACACATCACTGAACCAGGTCCCACAAAACCCAGTCTTGCAACCGCCCGACTAGAGGCAGGTGGCGGAGGATACATGCCGCGTGGCGTGTGCATTGCCCCAGCCTGGCGAACCGCGACCAGGCGCGGCGAGGAGGAGGAGGAGGAGGAGGAGAACGAGGAGGCAGCGAGGGAACGAGAGCTGGCCGCGGCGCCAAGAGGTGAGCGCCGGCTCGGCCCCGCCGAGGCCTGGGCAGCAAGCAGACGCCAGGGGCCTTGACCAGGGTATGGCGCGTGGAGGCGGCGGTCGTTGGCCTTCGGGGGGCGGGTGGGTGGGGCGCCCTCGTCGCCGCGGCCGGACGCAGCTCGGCAACGTGGTGCGTTCGGACCCCCGGATGGATCTGGAAACCGACCTTGAGCGGCCTCTGCCTCGGCCCGCCCTGCGCCCTGCTCCGGCTCGGGGAGCGCGGGGCCGAGGAGGCGAGGACGCCGCCGCCGCTCGGGCTGCTCCTCGGGCTCCTTCGGGCGCGGCTCGGCGGGTGCAGAGGGGGTCACCGCGCTGGGGCGCCCACGGGCAGCCTGGGGGCGTCGAGGGCAGCCCAGGCCGCTGCAGGGCGCGGCAGTGTGTGATTGTGTGTGTGTGTGCGTGTGTGTGTGCGCGCGGCCGGGCCGTGCGGAGGGAGGCATGCTGCAGCATGTCTCGCTCGGCCCCCCTCGGCCGAACCGCCCGATGCCAGGCCCGTGTGCCCCACCACCGCCGTGCGGAAAACTCCTCGCTGCTCCCTCCTCTCCCTCCTCGGCTCCTTTTGGCTTCCTTCTCCCCCCTCCTCTCTAAAATTAACCTCTCCTCCCGCCTCCCTCCTGCCTCCTCCCCCTCTTCCCCCTCAATTAAGCTCTCCTTCCTCCTCCCCCCTCTCCCCTTCCCTGCTCCCTCCTCCTCCTTGGAATGTGGGGAGGGGGGCGAGGAGGACCCCACCCTTCCCGCGTGGGCGCCCCCTCGCTGCCTAGGCGATCTCTGAGCTCGCGCTACGCGTGGAGAGCCTGCTGGGGCGCTTCGGCGACGTGGTGGGCAAGCCAGAGGCTCCAGCGGGACGGGGGGGGTGAAGAGGGGCGAGGGAGATGGAGGGGAGGGTCGGCCTTGTTCCTTTGCCTATCTCACCCTTCGCCTTCTGCTCGTCCCCTCTCCCCCCCCCCCTCCTCCGCGCCCCCCGCGCGCTGTGGGGACACCAGGACGAGGAGGAGGAGGAGGAGGAGGAGGAGGAGGAAGAGGAGGAGGAGGAGGAGGGAGGAGGAGGATTAGGAGGAGGAGGAGCGAGGAGGAGGAGGAGGAGGAGAGGAGGAGGAGGAGGGGAGGAAAGAGAAGGAGAAAAGAGGTGGGAGGAAGCAGGAGGAGCAGGAGGAGGAGGAGGATGAGGAGGAGGAAGAGGAGGGGAAGGAGGAGGAGGAGGAGGAAGAGGAGGAGGAGGAGGGGGAGGAGGAACATGAGGAGCAGGAGCAGGACGAGGAGCAGGACGAGGACGATGGACGATGACGATGACGATGACGATGGTGATTGTGATGGTGATGGTGATGATGATTGTGATGGTGAGGGTGAGGGTGATGGTCATGGTGATTGTAATGATGCTGCTGCTGATGATGATGCTACTGCTGATGATGATGATTGGTGGTTGTAGTGATGATGATGATGATGGGGAGGGAGAGGAGGATGAGCAGGAGCAGGAGGAGGACGAGGTCGATGACGATGACGATGGACGATGACGATGACGATGGTGATGGTGGTGGTGGTGGTGGTGGTGATGGTGCTGCTGTTGCTGTTGAGGAGGAGGAGGAAGAGGAGGAGCAGGATGAGGACGTGGACGATGACGATGGACGATGATGATGACGATGGTGATGGTAGTGGTTATTGTGATTGTAATGATGATGGTGATGCTGATGCTGATGCTGATGCTGGTACTGATGATGCTGACGATAATGATGATGGGGATGAGGATGAGGATGTGGATGATCATGATAATGATGATGATGAGGATGATGCTGATGATGATGCTGATGATGCTGATGATGATGCTGATTATGATGCTGTTGACGCTGATGCTGACGATGATGCTGCTGCTGATGCTGCTGCTGATGATGATGATGCTGATGGTGACGATGATGATGCTGCTGATGATGATGATGACCACGATGCTGCTGATGATGATGATGCTGACGGTGATGATGCTGATGGTGATGAGGATGATGCTGATGCTGCTGCTGATGCTGATGATGCTGCTGATGATATTGATGATGATGCTTCTGATGATGATGATGCCAATGATGATGCTGCTGATGATGATTTTGATGCTGCTGATGATGATCATGATGATGATGCAGCTGATGCTGCTGCTGAAGATGATGGTTGTGATGATGCTGCTGCTGATGGTAATGATGATGATGCTGATGCTGATGCTGATGATGATGATACTGTTGCTGTTTATGATGATGATGATGCTGATGATGATGATGCGGCTGATGATGATTTTAAGGATGATGAGGAGGAGGATGATGCAGCTGATGCTGCTGCTGATGATGATTGTTGTGATGATGATGCTGCTGATGGTGATGATAATGCTGATGCTTATGATGCTGATGACAATGATGATGACGACACTGATGATGTTTATGATGATGATGCTGATGATGATGATGATGATGATGGTGATGATGATAATGATGACGATGACGACGACGATGACGATGATGATGATGCTGCTGATGATGCTGATGCTGATGATGATGATGCTGATGCTGATGATGATGATGCTGATGATGATGATGCTGCTATGATGATGGTGATGGTGATGGTGATGGTGATGATGATGATGATGCTGATGCTGATGTTGATGCTGATGCTGCTGATGATGATGATGATGCTGCTGATGCTGATGATTAATTTGCTGATTTTGACGATGATGCTGATGATGGTGATGATGATGCTGCTGCTGCTGATGATGATGATGCTGATTTTGATGATGATGACGATGCTGATGATGATGATGGTGGTGGTGATGATGATGATGATGATGGTGATGGTGATGGTGATGGTGATGGTGATGCTGATGCTGCTGATGATGCTGATGATGATGATGATGATGAGGATGAGGATGATGTATGATGATGATGATGATGATGCTGATGCTGATGCTGATGATGCTGAGATGCTGATGATGATGATGATGATGATGATGATGATGATGATGATGATGATGATGCTGATGATGATGCTGATGATGATGGATGATGATGATTGCTGATGATGATATGATGATGATGATGATGAGATGCTGATGCTGATGATGATGATGATGATGAGATGATGATGATTATGATGATGATGGTGATGGTGATGCTGATGTGATGATGATGATGATGATGATGATGATGATGATGATGATGATGATGATGATGATGATGATGAGGAGGAGGAGGAGGAGGAGGAGGAGGAGGAGGAGGAGGGTCAAGGCGGACAGCACAGCCTTGTTGGCGTTTGTTTCGTTTGTGAGCGGGTATCGCCAGTCTTGCAGTGTTTCCTGATGGTTCTCGCTGGGCCAGACACTCTTGTGTGACCCGCGATCCTCCGTCCGGGCACCGCGGACAATGGCGCGCCCACGCCCATATCCAGAGGCAGACTGGGGGAGGCTCGCCCTCACGCAGCCACACCAAGAGGCAGACTAGGAGTGCTCACCCCCGCACAACCATATCAGGAGGCACACACGGGGAAGGCTCGCCCCCCCACAGCCGTATCAAGAGGCAAGCTGGAGAAGGCTCACCCCCCGCGCAGTTGGCCATATCAGACGGCAGACGGGGCAAGGATCACCCCCCGCACAGTCATATCAGGAGGCGGACTGAGGAAGGTTCACCCCGCGCAGCCATATGACGAGGCGCGCCGCGGCACGCTGGCCCCCAGTCGCTCGCAAGCCGCCTTTGTCGGTGCTCCTTTGAGGCGGAATTTCCTGGCGCCTGCTGCTGCCATCTCGAAGGCAGCGCAACGCCGAGATTTCAGCGCGCACCGACTGGGGCTGATCGCCCTCGCCTCCTCATGCGTCAGCTCCTTCCCTCATCACGCGGGGGTCCCCCGAGCTCCCTGGATGCCTCCAGACGTACTCGGAAGTCTCTGTAGGTATCCAGAGTTCCACAAGAGTTCAAAAGAACTAGAAATTGAACGACATAGAAAAATATCTGGGCGAAAGTCACAACTATATGCAGATGTGAGTACCGTCGTTGCGGGTATCGCCTTCGGGGGATCTCCTCGTGGTGCCATGAAACATGCGGAGCGCTGTATTGTGTGAAGAGACGCGCATGCGGCCTGCGGCCCCTGGGACCTTCGGTGGAGCTCCCTATGGAGCCACGACGCGCTGTGCTGGGTGGGAGAGACGCGTGCGAACACCGCCACTGTGGCCTTCGGCGGAGCTCCCCATGGGGCCACGAAACGTTGTACTGGGTGGGAAGACGTATGCGAACACCGCCACTGGGGCCTTCGGTGGAGCTCCCCATGTGGCCACGAAGCGCTGTACTGGGTGGGGGAGACGCATGCGAACACCGCCACTGGGGCCTTCGGTGGAGCTCCCCATGTGGCCACGAAACGTTGTCATGGGTGCGGAGGGCAGAGGCAGGGATGGGAGGGTGTGGAGGAGGGGGCACAGGGTCGGAGACGCGGGGCGCTGTCTTCAAAACGAGGACCCAACACCACAGGTTGGTTCGGGACAGCAGCAGACCAGAAAAACAGGAGGATCCACCAGAGGTCTCGCGCGGGGCGCTTCTGGAGGCCTCCTGGAGGCCCCCCGAGATTCCGAAAGGGCCTCGGACAGAACGCCAAAAAGCCTCGCTGCTCCTCCCTTCCTCGCTCCCCTGCCACTCATGGGCATTGACAGGGGGCGGACTGGCCCAGGGGGGGAAACGTCAGTCCCCCAGTCTTAAATCGGGCCTGTCCCTCTACAGGGGGAATATTCAAAAACAGTCCAAAATTAGCCTGGGATTATTTGTTGAAGTTTTTTTGGCCATTCTGACGTATTTTTGCGTATTCTCTATGTTTCGTCGAGAATCCCCCTGTATGGGGGACGCGCCCGCTTCCAGGCAAAACCAAGTCATACCACGCGCCTCCCCGTCGAGTGGCCTGACCAGTGCGTGCCGTAGTTTGGCATCGCTTGGTAGCTCTTGGAAGCGAGGGTGGTCAAAAGCGAGGTAGGTTTGTTTGCCCCCTATGAACCCCAGTCGCCCATCCCTCGCCCATCGGGGCCTGGGCTGTTCACGCCCCGCCCAGGAAGCGGGTGGAGCCCTGCCCTCGGAGGCCTCCGCCGCTGACCCGCCGGCGAGGGGTCGCCGACTCCGAGTCGGTGCTCCCCGCCGTTCCCCTCACCATCCCTCTCCTCCCCTCCCTGCACCCCTCCCTCTCCTCCCCTCCC